GAACCACTGTCTCAACCTCAGTGCATGGTAAATCTGCTTAATGTTATATTTATCCTGTGATTGAAACTCTTATGAAATAGCTCTATCAACTTCTGTATTTGTTCAAGTCCTTATGGGATTTTGCCTGATGATACTAACCAACAACACTATAGTATTATCAGGGATAATTATAGTTATCATTTAAAATGCAGACTTGTTCACATTTGAATCTAACATCATCCAAGCTAGTGTTTTTCAATCAGAAGTGTATATCAGACTTTCCTATGGAGTTTAATAAAAATGCAGATGTCTAGGACATACACTAGACTTAGCAAATATTTTACTTTACATTCTTGACATGTTCTTTCAAGATTATTATATCTCTCGGTTTTTCCCTCTGTAAAAATTACATTTATCTATTTTTGTACAATCAGAAGCAAACTCCCTGACTTCTTTAAAAATAGATTTACTCATTATCCTTTGAAACATTCTGTCTAATTTGGGGGCAATGATTTTATTATCTTGTTTTGCATGTCACATCTATTCATTATTCTTATTATGAGCTCTCATCAGACTTTTCACATTTGAAAATGATCTGTAAAATAATCACAACCAGTTTCAGTTTCTATCATCTATACATGTTTATTTTCCTTAGATGCTTGCCTGCAGGTTCTACTACCAGCTTCAAGCCAGAGTTTTCAACTAAAAATACTTTCAACAGTCCCAGATGCTTCAAACAGTTGACATTTTCAAGGACAGACTCTTGGGTACAGGAATCTGATGCTCCAATAGGCTGAGTCAAGATTTATAAAACTTTCATGCTCCTGCTAACCCGAGATCAACAGCAACAAAAAATAATTGCATAAGACTGAATGCACTGATAAGGGAAATTTTACTATAGCTTTTTGTTTAGAATATTGTTATTTTAGTGTTCTGTTTACTGGATCTATGAGACAGTCCTTTCTCTACTTCATCTCACAATTTAGTAGATTCTTGTATTAACTATATTTTATTATTTTCTGTATTTTTGATGCCCTGGCCTCTGGAGCCCCACTCACTAGGAAGTACATTCTCCTAGGGCTAGCCAATTCTTAGAACATAAATGACTTGCCCAAGAGTGAACCTTTCACATGTAAACTAACCAATGCAGAGTCCATACTTGGAACCAACTCTTCTATCTGGCTCATACACTCCAGAAGGCAATATTCCTCTGCCTTAATCATCTGAACCAGGTACCGGAGAGTCCCTATACCTCAGAATCTACTGAAATGAATCAAACTCGTCAATCCTAAGACTGCATTACCCTGCCTCACCTTGCCTTTCCCATACAAACCACGTAAAGGCTTCTGCCTTGCTTTCCACCTGTCCCTTCCACTTTCTGACTAACCCTGGTGCTCCTTGGTCCTGCACAGCACAGCATGCTCCCTTTCCTCCTGAGACTGAGGAGTGGGAATCTTTTCAAAGAGCGGTCATCCTCTCATCACTTGGCCTCACCATTTATGAATAGTAATAATAATAAAACTGTATTTTAAAACCGCCCATTTAGGTAAAATGAGATGAAACATTTAAAAGTGATGTCTGAGTCTCACTTACCCCAGAGTTCAGATACTCACCCTGCATCCTGACCTTTTGTTGCAATGGGGTTAGTTCCTATATTCAATAATAATCTGTTTTCCTTTTACCAGAATAAAATTGAAAAATCTGTTATGTAACCAAAATCTTGCCTGGAATGCCATCCTGAGAAGGATTTTCATTGAATCATGTAGAACAGACCACCTTTAAGGAACAAAGTCTTTACTTACGTAGCCAATGCCTACAGGGGCCTCCTAGGATAACTGACCTGCTAACTGGTTTACAGGGTCCAACCTTACAGGTGGTATAAAGATGGTCACTTGCTGGCAAGCTAGAAACCTAATGTTATTTTGTGGATCTCAAGAAGAGAGTAATATATCCAAATGCATAGGTACTGCAGTTGAAACATCGTGGAGAGAGCTTCTTGAACTTAGCTCCAGACCTTGGGATTGCAAATAATAGAGGCATTGAAAGTCCAATCTGAGATCCCCCATGAAAACTCCCAAAGAAAAGTTAATATTGTAATTAGTCAATAGCAAATGACTTTACATTTTGCAAAGCATGCTTAACAAGGCCTATACAGTAAATTGACACTCTTGCTATGCCTATGTAGGCCAAACCTAATGAGACTAACCTTATTTTGTGATTAAGAATAATCTTTTCTTGAGATTCTTATGATCATAAGAGGTAAGAGAAGAATGTAAAGAAAAACTATAAATAAAAAACTATAAATAAAATCTTTAAAATTTAGCAGGTGTCCGGGCTAACTCATCCATCTGGATAATCTTTGCTTTTGTTTTTCTATGACTAGGCTATTTTTACAAGGCTGTAGACACAAAAGTGAACTTGTAGATACTGATGGCAAAGCAAATAATTCCTCATGTCCAAGAGAAAGTAACTGATTATCACGTCATGGATATTGTAAATTTTGCCAATTTTGTGTCCATTTGCAAATTTATTTCTGCATTCCTCATCAGACTACAAATATGTGATACTTTGCATTCTCTTTTGAACTGGTTGTACTATCTTACTGATTCCTTTGTTAATTAATAATTTAAATAAAATCTTTGATACACCTTTATTTCATATCTATAGGAGAGTCATGATTATATTCTGTTAAATGTAACTTTTAACAACTGAATAAGATCACACTTACATTTCACATCAAAAAAAAGATGATACAGTCATCTGTGCACCTCTCTTAACCAGTTTTGAATTATTCAACACATAATACTGAGTGACTACCACATGCTACAGGTCTAAAGAAAGACAAGAAGGACTGAATCACTGACCTTAAGAAACTTGCTCCTATGGAGCTAAGGTTTACCCAAACTTTGTCTAGCTTCAGCGGTCAATATCACAAAACTTCAAGGCAGAAAAAAAAAAACACACTTAGAAAATTCTCCCCAAAGTAATCTTTTCTAAATAGGTAATTACTGGTTAGCAGCACAATATAATCAGCAAAGGAAAAAAAAAAACCTCCAAAGCGAAATCATGGGTTTTATATAAAAATTAAGGTGTAATTAGTATAAGGGATTAGGTAAATCACTAGACTTATAGTTGGAAGATCTGCGTACCTTTTCTTAGAAACACTGTGCTTTTATGGAAAAGACCTTCCACTCAAGTTCTTCCAAATCTATTTAAAGAGGTTATATAATCCCTCTAATCCTTAATTTTTACATTTGAAAAAAATATATAATACCCATTCCATGGGATTGTGGTAAAGCATGGTACATGCCTGGAACATAGTAAATACCTAAATACATGTTAGCTGATTTTATTAATAATCTTATTTATAGAGTATTTATAGATTCAGTTCTTGTCAATACTCAACCAATGTTAATTCTCTCTCCCCAAAGAAAATAGGAAGAATGAACTGTTTCATATTTCTCCCATATATGGAAGATCTAAGATATTATTATCAAAGTTCTCTTTGGAGGGGATCTCATTGTGTGGATAGAGATGTTAGGAAGGAACTAAACATTTTACCTGCAGGCCAGGATTCCAATGCTGTACTATAAGCAAAGATAATACAAGCATATCTCTCCCCAGAAATCTCCCTGTGTTTGTGAGCAATGGATTGGAATTACATGCCGCATTAGCATCTTATTAGAAGTGACAACTGTATAATTTCTGAGAGCCAGGCTATAGGATGACAAGAAAGAAAACACTCTGGGAGACATGGCAGGTCACCCAATCCTCAAAGTGTCACAGGAGACGCTTAGCAGGAGATTCAAGCGCATCCCTAAGACCCATCAGACTATGGGGGTAGCCCTTTGGGTAACTGTATCCTCCTCAACACCACACTCCTAATCAGATTAAGCATGGGGTGCATTCAGTAATACGCAGTGTCTCAAGTTCATCGTAACTCAAACAGTATTTCGTATTCACTTCTGTCTGAAACTCAACTCAGTTAAAAATAATTACCACCCGGCTTTATGAATGCAAAGGGCACTTTCATTTTATTGCAAAATTAACTGACTAAATAAGAGTTCCTAATACCGAGGAAGAAATGAGCTAAAAATCACAAGACAAATAAGAAAATGACAAGGTCAAATAAGGTGTTCAGCCAAAGGTGTTCTAACAGGAAGATTAACCTGGTGTGCATTTGCTATATAGGACTGGACTTAAAGTTATACAATTAATCTGTTACATGTAGAACCTCCCACATTATTTTTAAGGTTTAAATGTTAACAAAAAAGCAAAGTTAATATTAATGAAGCACCCCTGTCCCCAAAACTGTATTACAAGTATAATCTCATTAACCTCCTAGTAAGGTAAAAGTGGATTATATTCATTTAATCTTTTTTTTAAAGCATCATAAATTAAGAAGTTTTCTAAGATTTAAAAACATCACATCTTGGCTACATCCCTCTACAACTTGAGAAAGTTTTAAAAAAATTAGAAAATGTAAATGTACTACCCAAATCGAATGGGGAAAAAAAATGCTTCATCCATTCAATTAAATACTTACTGACCTCAAAGAACCTGATACTACACACATACAAACAGGCACGTGCGCACTTGAATAAATTTACCCAAGTCTGCTAAAGGGCAGCTAAGGTGAGTGGCTCTGGGTAAACTTGGGATTTTTGATTTGCTAAAAAGAAATCTCCAAGTTCGGGGCAAGAGCTGCATGACCTGGTTAAGCGAAGAATGCTGGAGATCCTCCTCCACTCTCCGCTGCAAGAATGCAGCACCGCCTCTGAACCACTGTCGAAGCCCAGGGCGTAAGGTATCCGTTTGAAGGGGAGCTAGATTACCAGCCTGCTGAGCACCCTGCGCTGGGAGTGCCATCCCTGCGTCCCAGGCCGGCGGTATGCACACGGACCCGGTCAAGCTCGCTCACCACCTCCTGCAAAAGAACGCGCTCATACTGCCTGCCAGAGCGGTGCCCTCGTGGGAGAAGCACCCACTTGGCAAAGGCCTGGGGAGGTAGAGCCCGCTACCTGACTTTCTCCGTGGCTCCTCCCGCTCTCCGCCTTGAGCAGGGTCTTGGGCTTCCGGGACTTGAAGTTGCCCATGCTGGGTCGCAGCACGCCGTCCACCTGCACGGGCTGCTCTACATGCTGCGGAGGCGACGGCGGCGCGGGCTCCTCTAGGAGAGCCCTGGCGTCGGGGTAGTTTTCTTTATTGTCTTCATCTCTAAAACAGGAAAGACCCAATTTAGAAAGCACCCAAAAAAGTAATACACTGCTGCGGGAAAGCGGGGCTGGAACACTCACTGCTGCTCTATTTATAGGGTATCTAGCAAAATGTTTAGGGTAGACTTAGTTTCACAGGAATAAGAACCTAAGAAATGTGAATTTCACTGTTTGGATCATTCCACCTTACCTTCTCCTCTTTACAAGTGGATACATACTTTTTTTTTTTTTTTTTTTGGCAGTTGTGGCTTTGCGCATGATATCATATTTGTTCTTAATTTTTCACTTCAAGATGCTTTGATGTATGTATTTTTTCTAACAAAAATGTGGGATTCGGGTTAGAGATTGTCAGCCCAGTTTTACAGATTAAGACCCTAGAACTCAGGGGCACTTGGGCGGCTCAGGTCATGATCTCAGGGTCAGGAGATCAAGCTCCAGGAGAGCTGCAAGCAGGGTGTGGAGCCTGCTTAGGATTCTCTCTCTTCACCACCCTTCTCTCGAAAAAAGACAAGAAAAAAAAAAAAAGGAAAAAGAAAAAAACTCTAAAACTCAGAGAATAAATGAAGTTCCTGGGAAGAGCTAATTCACCCAGAGACCTGGAGTGCTAGCTAGGTCTTCAGTCTCTCCTGCATATATGGACTTGATTTAAGGCATGATACTTCCTCCTTGCTGGCATGTTTAGAATCATCTCCCTACAATTTTCAAAAGCCTCTAGAAGTTTAACAGGGTCCATTTTGATAGGAAACATGCTACTTGGATAAAATATAAAACAAGGGCCATGTTTTACCCAACAAAACCACCTGAACAACACCTTCTGTGCGCACTCAAAGATCCTTGTCCAGGTTCCATCAGTGTGGAATTGCTGCGGTGACGAAACGGGCCGGTGTCACCTTCACACAGCTAGTGGTGTCACACACACAGCCACTTTTAACTTTCACTAACCAAGCAAATTTATACAATATAACCTACTCTTTCAATTTCTTCCAAGTAGTGACATAACACTTTTATTGAAGCCATTAGTCCCTCTTAAATCTAGATGCACTTCTTTTCTAACTTTGCTAAGAATCCAGGGATATAACCCAATGGGGTGTCCTCTTTATACAATTAATATTATCATTCTTAATCCACTGGCAATCATTTGGTACTAGATCATATAATTCTCTTGGGTGACCACTTCCCCTCAGTGGTGTTTTTCCCTCCCATTCCCTAATCGGAGCATCTGTAAAAGATTTTGGTAAGGTCAGATAGGAAAAAATTCCTTGTAGCTCAAGGACACACAAAGCCAAGAGACAAGACCAACAAAGAAAGGATTTCTATGCCCACTGTTCAAGATGCTTTTTCGCAAATAAAACAGAGATTAAACTCACTAAACTGTTATCAGGAAGATGAACTCCAGTTAGCCTCTGGGAAAAAGATCAAAGCAAACATCAAGGATAGGAATTCTGGAGCATGACCCAGGGTGCAACTGGGCAAAGTGTGGAAATAAAACTACATGAAACAGTTAATTTTAAGCCCCCGGACAAACTTCATAATGCCTGGTAAAGGAGAACCCAACAAGTGAAATAATTATTCAAATGAAATATTAATAACTGAAAAAAAGTTAAACAGAAAGTCAGTGCCAATGACACTGGTTAATATTTTCCCTTAAGAGTGATTATAATTTATTTATTTACTTACTTATTTACTTATTTTTAGAGAGAGAAAGAGAGAGGTCGGGGAAGGAGTAGAGGGGAAGAGAGAGGAAGGGGGAAAGAATCCCAAGTGTACTCCGCACTGAACCAGATGCCTGATGAGGGGCTTGATCTCACTACCCTGAGATCGTCACCCTGTGATCACGACCTGAGCTGAAACTAAGAGTCAAACGCTCAACCGAGTCACCCAGGTGCTCCAAGATCAATTACAATTTTAAAAATTCTAAGTCACTAATGGATTTGGAAACCAATATCAAACCATAAGTTGGAACTGTACTAGTTCATGTGAAATGCATTTCTCTCACTGGAAACAATGTTCATCCCCATACTCTATGCTCCTGGGTGAGAAACAAAAGGGAGAACATCTGCCTTTACAGGAAACCTAAATATTCCTTCAAGGAGGATTCTAGAATATTAAGATCAGGAAGAAAAACTCATTTTTCAAATCTAAAATGGTTCTTTTGTTAGACTCACCCCTTAAACAATACCTGGACTTCATTTTTATATATTTTCAAGGTGCCCGAATTCACCTCCTTGACTTGCAAAGCAAAGAAGGTTGGTGTGGGGAAGCAAAGAACATCTTTCTCTCATTATACAAATACCTAAACACAAACAGTCATCTTTAAAAATACACTTCTAACCTGTTACTGGTTTCTCAGAATCTCCAAAGCAGGAAAGTACAAGTTATATAATTTATGCCTCTACTTAGTGGAATCAATCATAACTGGGAATGAGTCTGAAAGATCCTCCTCTATAATAGTTGCATAGCCTGGGCCACAGCACATCACCTCTCGGACCCTCAGCCATGAGATGGCTCTCTCTCTACCTGGCAGAGATCATACATGCCCTGTGAAATACCTACCATACAAAGCTGGCTCAAGGCCACAGCTCAATAAATGGGAGCTATTGTTACTTTAATGGGGTTTTAGTCAAGTGGTTATTTGCAAAGAAAAGACTGAGGGTTCTTTTTAGTCTCCCCAATACCTCCAGGATAAATTCCAGACTCCTTAGTGAGGAACACCAACCCTTTGAAATCAGGTCTTTGTTTATCTCTGGAGCTTTACTTCTTATCACTCTTGGCCTCACTCCCAAATGTTCTCAAGCTTCCTGCCATCCTGAACTTCCTGCTATTCCTACAACTCTATTTTCTCTACCTTCTGTTGGCTTTCCAGCAAGCCGTTCCTTCTGCTTGGTAGCATCATCTTTTTCTTAGCCTCATATCCTCCTACTCGCCACCCCCCCGCCGCCCACACACACATACAAAGTCATGTGCTACCATAATTTTCTTCAGGAATCCATCCCAGAAACCTCTCTGGGCTATTTGGTCCTTCTAAATGAATCCTCTGTCTACCTCTAGTAAACGATCACTTAACGTACTACAGCATCATCGTCTACATGGACTGGTTTCTGGCACACAAAATAGGCCTTCGACAATTGTTTGTTATCCAACAAATGGACCCAACAGTCAGAGAGACCGGAGCCCAAATTCTGCCGCATAGTAGCTATGTTAGTTTGGATGAGCTATAATCCTTCTGAGCCTCAGTTTCCCCACCTCCAGGAGGAGGAGGGAAACATCGACGTCCTTTCAGTTGTTTAAATTAAATAATAAAATGTATGTGAAAATGCTCTGAACAAAGCAAATGTGGAAGAAATGGTTAACTATGAAGGTTTTGCCATATCATGAACCCCTTGATGACCAAGACCGTACTCCAAACACTCAGTGATGTGTTTGATAAATAAATCTATAACCTCTTCCATAGGGTCTATGATGGGAACACTGAGATGGGATAATCAATCTTGAATTCAGCAGACATTTACTGTGCATTCCCCACATAAAAGGCACTGTCTCGGGTACTAAGGGGACTACCCCAGAACGGACATGACAAAACTTAAGAACTGATATTTTATTAAAAAAACTTATACACAAAAACAGCTGATTCTTAGATTCAAAGAAAAGGCTAACTACTCCAGACACACATGGTTTCTGTCCTTCATAATTAAGAACCAAGCAATAGTGGGTCATACCTGATACTGGAGCAATCAGTCTGGTCTTCATGTAGGGAGGCTGTGTCTTCGTCACACCTGGAGAGAAGGAACAAAACCACATCAGTTCCAACTGTCTGCAGCAGCAGAAGCCGCAAGAGTCTAGAGTTAGATTAGCACGGTAAACTAAAAAATAGAACAACCCTCACCACTCTCTCTCAGACTAGCTCCAATTCCCAGCATGTCTACGCGGTAATGATACCAATGTGGTCATGTTATGTCATCTTAAAAGCTCAGAACCAGAAGTAATACTCTTGTTTCATCCACTGCTCAGCACCACCTAAACTAACAAGATCTTGGCAAGGACCCAGCTGTTCGAAGCACTTGAGGGGACATCTAACACCAAGATTGGTGAGTTCTTCCTGGCTCAAAAAGAGACTACTGCATGCCTGCTGAAATATCCCCTGCTTCAGACTAGCTTCTTCCATTGACCTCCAGACTTTTTCAATCCCATTCCTTATCACAAAACTTCTGGAATAACCCAGTGAAAAATTCATGGCTCTTCTATACTGAAAAATGTGCAGTGTTCCACACTGCCTGGGGGCCTCTAAAGTAAGACCATTCTCTCACTCGAGTGTAGAGCCTTTGTTCTTGTTCTCAGCCATTTCCACCCTCCTCCAGCCTGGAATGCTTTTTCCACCTTCAACTCCTACTCATCCTTCATTGCCCAAGTGACGTCTCATAAGCTCCATGATATTTCCCAGCCAAGTTCACCCACAGGCCACATACCTACTTTAAAACTTAATACATAAATGTTTACTCTATATCCTGAGATTTTGGTAACCAACTGTATCTTGCCTCACACAGCTATGTAATTCCTCTGTACCTCTGACATCTCTTCAATTAGTTGTTAATTCCATGAAAAGAAATGCCTTTTTTTCTAGACACACTGTCCCAGTGCCCACAGTGCTACCCCCAAAGTAGCATTCAAAAATAATTGAACAGAATCATTAAGTCTGACCCTCAGCAAGACTGGAAGTACTTTAACATGTACTACCCTTCAGGTACTCGTTAACTATTAGACCTGTGCGTTTCAAACTTTTTGGGACTCAGAACTGACCAGTTCATTTTCTATTTCCAATCTGCTATGGTAGTTTGGTAAAAATGTTGCAGGAATGCCAAATTCCCTTAGAAGTTATTAAATGCTTACTCCCTATTTCTGTACTTTCCTGGTCTCAGGTAAGTTACAAACAATTTGGGGGCCAGTACTTCCAGTAGTACTACTTCTAAAGGACACAAAGTTGAAAAAGACCTGGACCTTGCTCGGATAGAGTGACAATGTAATGAGTGGACAAAAATAAGTAAGTATCTACATACATAAATATAACCAAATATAATAATAATATCCATACTACATGAAATCATTTAAAATTTTTAAATATTCCTTACTTGCAACATTACATAATTTATCTATAGAACAAACTGATATAAGCTCCAGTCCTCTTCCCTTACTATCCCTTTTAAATTATGTACTTTAAGGAATTAAACAAAAGCCATGTAGATCCTAACTCTGCCTGCTGAAATATCTTGTTCCTCCTGCCAGTTAAAAACAAACAAACAAACAAAAATCAGTCAACTTAACACAGTACTCTTTTTAACGAAATAATTAAATTTTCTTGCTTTCTCATGTTTTTGACTGTCAGTAAACCATTCTATTTCATGAAAATAACAATTGAATTCATAAGTATTGCCTTGTTCTCCTCTGTTAGAGTCATTCACTTTAATAGATCATCTAGACATTGTAGTGTGAATGAAAATGTTTCCCAATAAGAGTAACCTCGCTAAGTAGAAAAATCAGCGAAGAAGAGAAACCTAGGATTTTTGCATCCAAAGATCTAGGGTTCAATCAGAGGTTCAACCCTAGAGCTCAACAATACCTATTGTTTGGGAATTTGGCAAGAACTTTTTTTTCTCCCCTTCACTTGATTCATTAACCTTTCTTTTCAAAGTACAATTAGGTAAAAATGGAAACTCGGCATCAGAACATACAAACTTGCACATGCTTTCTTAAGGATGAGGCCAGACCCTAATTAATTGATCATATTTTCAGGCCTATTGAATGACTTTAGTTCCTCCTCAAGGAAACACAATTCCTAGGTCACAGATACAGTAATGATATAGATCTGTCTACAGACTTATATGGGCACGTATACCCGCTCCTTTAGTTCAGCTGGGTTGTACATTTGCTCTGATGACCAGTAAGTTTTATCGAAGTAACATGTCCTTTGTGACTCTTCTACCGATTCCTTAAACAGGAGCCCCTTGTGCAATGTTGGCCCAGTTGTAAAGCTGGATTCCTCAGTGGCAATCCAAATCCAGACATCCCCATTCCGGCAAGAAAACCAGCTCAGACCAAGTGCCCAACTGGTGGGATGCACATGGCATCCTCTTCCTGCATTGTAGCCCCAGTACAGGAATTTAAAGACAAATGAGTGTGGGCCCCACAGGTACCTCAGCCTCACTAGATCAGGTAGTCCCTGGGGGTGAGGCCCAGGAACGTGAATTTGTAAACCAGGTTGCCTCCCAAACACACACAAACATAAGAAGTATGATTCTAAGATGTTTAACACTGACCTGAAGTTTTTTACAAAACCCAGATCAGAACTGAGCTAACTCCAACACCATCACCCATTCTAGGTTCTTACTTTGGGATAAAGCCTGAGAAACTAGATCTTTCCCAAGTCCCAACCCCCTTCCCCAGTTCACAGTGATAATCAGTTGATTTTGAGAACCACTGCTTCCGATGATAACTAATTCATTGCAAAATGTACGGCTGGCCAGGCTTCATTTCACGTATCAGCGTAGCCAGGACAACATAGAAAATGACCGTGGAAAAACAGATGAAAGGAACATGCAGATACAGAAGGGAAGGCCAAGGCCACTCTGATCTTGGAAGAATTTGGTTAGAAAAAGAAACTGCATTGGTCCAGAGCTGCCCAGACAATGCCAGGCCTGGAAAAACCTGAGAAGAGAATAAAATCTATCCTTGAGTCTCTCCCAATTCCCCTTCCCTTTGACTCTAATAGGACCCCCAAGACTGACCAGACTGACCCCTAACAGGCTAGACTACCTGGCAACATAATTTATGTTAAAGCATTAATGACAACTTGAATCTGCCTCCCAGGGGCACAAATTTTTTAATTTCCATTTTAATAATGGTCACCACCAGAAGCCTTAATCCCAAAGAAATCATCTCTAAGTATAATTTCAGACACTAAGGAAATAAGTGAATGTGGGTAGCAGGAAATAGGAGGGGATGGGGAAAGGAAGGAGAGGAAGTTTTCAGGCAAGTGCTTCCTCCGTGTCCATTAAGACCACACCCAAATATTTACTGAGCACCTGCTACATCTGTGTGTTGGGACAGAGATAGCAGTCCTGTTGGCTTTGGGGTAATGCCCAAAGAACCAAGGAAAATACTTCATGTAACGGAGGAGAGGAGAAAATGTATTATTAGACCATGACAGGTTTTCAATGAGCCTACTGTGTGTTGTGTTACACCTGCGAAGCTTTTGGTAGGTTTTAAATATGCTCCTTGGATTTTTAGATTAGCCAGATGGCATTCCAGTTGTCACTCAGGGTCTTTTAAAATAAATCACGGTCACTTCTCTGAAAACAACAACAGGATCTTATGCAATCAGAACTCCTTGAGGAGTGTCCAAAGAAAGGTACCAGCCTTTCCCCACAATTAAGTGAAAAACCTTTTCAAAAAAATTGTCCATGTGAAATCTGGGACTGAGTGTCTCCATTTTGGAAGCTTCTATGCCCAGGGCTGAGTCTGGGGACTCAGCCACACAGGGTTCCCAAGAATCAGGCACAGAAAGCGCTGGGTGTTTATAAGCCCAGCCCAGGGAGGGGAGCAGCCCCTGTGCACCTGAATCAGGAAGTCACAGCCTATCTTTGGCCTGTACATTTTGGCACACATCCCTCCCCCTCTCCCAGGCTTTTGGAAAAGCCACAGTTGCAGCAATCTCATTAACAGATGTGGGTCTCTATGAGTATTTCACATGTCATATATTTTACATGACATCTTCTAAAAGTCAAGCCCGGGTTGTTTTTTTTAAGTAACTCCACTTAAGTGAGCCCAAAGCTTGGCACTAAGAGGACAGCTTATCCAAACACAAAAACAAAAGGATGTGGGAAACAAGAGGGCCTGGGAAGCCCTGCAAAATCTTACCCCTCCATCTCCGAGTCACTGTGACAGTGGTAAGACGTGACACTCTCCTATCCATTCCCACATTTACTTGCTTTTTGGGAAACTTTAGCAAACACTTCCTAAGTTACTGGGCTTTCTGTATCAAACTTGCAACATTTTTTAAACATAGTTCAGTATGCAACCTTATATATCCCTTTTTCCTGAAAAGCTGCTGAGTGAGTTCTACCAAGAGGTCCCAGAAGTAAACATCACGAGTTAATCTAAAGAAAGACTGCTAAATGAAGTGTAGGTATTTAATATATATGTAAATTTTATATAAATTACATATAATATTAGTAAAATATACTACCTATTAATTTTTAACATATATGTATCATATCGTATCAGGAAAACATATTAAGGAAGGGATAACAAGAATTAAAACCATGAAGTATAAACTGTCTAATAAAAAAAATACTATGACTGCTGGCATTCAGTAAAATATTATACTCCTTCATCCCATGTTCAAATGATATTAGTTGCCCCAATCAGCAGCTTTAACCAGAGGACAAGAAGATGCATTTCTCCTAAGCCAGATCTTTGAGGTCAGAAGACAAAACTGACAAAGGGCACCCAAGAAAAGTTCACTGTGTCTTAAAAATCTGTAGACAAGAGAGGGTGAGAATAAGTTTAGCCTGTTTATCACATGTTGGAATTCGACTCAAGTCATTTCACATCTATCTCCTATTTGTTGTAAATGTATACAGCCTGCTCCGTGAAAACTGACACCAATGTTGGCAAAATACAACAAAGCTTCCTTTCTGACACGTCAAACAGATTTTATTTAAAAAAAAAAAAAATCTGAGCTCCAAGAACACAAATCGTAGAGCACTGAGCTCCTGCAAGCAATTAGCTTGTTATAATATCTCTCCCACAGCTACTAAAAGGCTATTTCAACCTGTAAAGATTTCTGGGCCCCATCAGTCAGCACCTCTCACGGTCTTCACAGCCCCAGATTACGGGAGACAATGCATCTAATACGAAGAGCGGCTGGGGACGGTGGAGGATACCTTCACGATAGTTGCTTCCAGAGAAAGGCATGCAAGTGTTATTTTAATGGCAAGAATCACTTACTCTGTTACAGCGGTGCTGCTGAAGGAATTATCCTGAAGGCTGAAACAGAAACAAGAAAACATCAGCCAAGTCCGGCCGGGGAGCCGTCTCCCTGATTGCTCTCCGGGAGTTAGAGCATACACACAAACATGGCATTGCAAGGCAAGTCTCAGGGCTCGCCCGGCACGCTCGCTCTACCTTGGGCTGCTGTCTGCACATGCTCGTAACGACACCCCCAGCTGGGGCCCAGCCGCACGGGCGAACCACAAAGCCCGGCAGCCCGCGAGGCTGCGGGGACAGAGCTGGGCGGGGCGGGGAGCGGCGGCAGGGCCGGCCCCGGGCTCCCAGCAAGGAGCGCCTGGGGAGTCACGGCGACCCCGACCTCGCCAGCCCCGCGCGGCGTTTAATCCAGGCTTCTCGGTGCCAGCCACCCCCGGGCTGGCAATGGGAAAGCCCAACCGTTCCTGCCTAGGTGCTGAAATCCCTGGGGGACTTGCTTTCTTCCAGACGTCTCCTGCCAATTTTACACAGCTACCCCCTCTAGGGATGGGAGGCTGGCAGAAATTCATCCGTCGGGAGGGAACCAGAACCGGGAGGAGGACATAGCTGCTGTTATTGCTCTGTGTGTGTGTGTTTGTGTGTGAGTCTGTGTGTGTCCTGCTTTTCATTGCCCTGGAAAAAGAAGAACCTTTGAAGGAGGGCTCACTGCATCACACCCGCGCTCACACCCGCGCTGTTTGCACTGTCATTTCAGTCTCCGAGAGGAAGCGCCCAGCCTCGGACGACAGGGCTGTGAATGAGCCCACGCGGGGCGAGTGGAGGATTTATTCCTGGCAGGACTGGGCACTGGGGGGGCCGTGTGAGGGGGTGGGGTTTGCTACGCCCAGAGTAGCCCGCCTAGGCTGCATTCCCAAGCACGCTCACAAAGGGTGAGAGATGGAATCCACAAAAGCCATCCTCTTTAAAGAAAGGCAGCCCTGTTGGGGAAAGGGAAGGCTGTCAGGCCCCCACTTGCTTCATTCCCCTGGGGATATTTGTCCTGCCCTCTTTCCATTGTTCCTGTCTCCTGCCAGCTTGACCTTGATATGGAATGAACAGACATCAGTGAAAGATGCTGATTTTAATTCCTGAATTAAGTACATTCCCCAGGCCCCTGTTTAAATTCGACACTCTGAAAAGCAACTGAGATGGTGTGTTTTAGTCCAAACCGTATCAGGGGACGAGTTAATTTACAATAACAAAACAAAACAAAACAAAAAAACCTCAAAATTTTACTTTCGGATAATTAGAAAAATTACCCAAAACTTGACAATAAGGGAGGAAATCATGACCTTTCAGTGTCACACTGAGGCACTGTTTTACAGATCCACCCAAGGACTGCTTAATTCTCTAGGAAAATACACTTGGATTTGACGTTGCTGTTCATTATTGGTTAGACCTCAGACACTGGAGTTAGGTGTTAAGTTGTACATTTTGTCCAATTTGTCTGAAGGAAAATATAACTTCAATGTTTATGGTATTATTGCATTGTGCAAATTTAAGCAATTTTGTATCTAACCTAACAATCTTATATGAACATTTTTCCAAATGCCTGGAAATATTCAGATGCTCTTGGTTCCCAAAGCATCACACTCTTATAGGTTCCCTCATTAATAAATTAATAGATTTTTGATGTGTGCCTATAGTTGTATGAAAGTCATGTTTTTAACTTTTAAAGTTATACTTTGAAAAATCAAAATTCAGTTTTCAAAGAAAAATAGATTTCATTAAGGTCCTTGGCAATTTTATTTTCCTCACTCCAAATATTTGAAAAAGCAACTGAATAAAAACCTAATATGGTCTTAGGCCTGAACTCTATGGACTATAATAAGTTTAGAAATATTCATCCCATACAGTATATATATGTTCCTAAACCACCAACTGCCTCATATGAGCAAGATTCAAGAGTGTTAGACACAGCCTTTTCACTATGTAAATGTATTCATTATTTAGCTGTCACAAACAGAGATCTATTCTTTCTATTTTACAGAGACCAGTAAAGGTAAGTGTATTCTCAGCACTCTTGGCTCTGCTCTAAAGATTTGAAGGTTGCCAATGTTCAGAAACCCCTTTTACTCATTGTCTAAGGTGCTGATTTCTCATGTTCTAATTCAGAGAAAGATCATACTTTTCTCATTTAAGTATTCCCAGTGATCCCTTTGAAATGAGAAAATGTTATGCTTTCGAATTTGAAACAGGACTTGGACACTGTGAAATCATGTGGGTCCCTCGCAAATAACATAACAATTCTGAGGTGAGTTCAAAAACAGAAGCAGAAAAGCTAATATTGGCATCCTGGAAGAAAATGAGTTCTAGAGCAGTGTTTCCCAAGGTGTCCTCAGTGAAATTCCAGTTTCCCAGATGGTCCAAGAAAAGAAAAAAGAGAGTTACAGGGTCAAAATTAAGATTTTGAAACTTAAACATCTACTTCTTGAACAACATGGGTTTGAACTGTGTGGGTCCACTTATGTACAGATTTTTTTTTATATAAATATAGTACAGTAAATGTGTTTTCTCTTCCTTATGATTTTCTTAATAACATTCCTTTTTCTTGCTTACTTTGTTGTAAGATGCATATAATACACATAACATACAAAATCCATGTTAATTGACTATGTTATCAGGAAAGCTTCCAGTAAACAATAGGCTATTATAAAGATTCGGGGAGAAAAAAAGTTATATGTAGGTTTTCAACTGTGTGGAGGTCTGTGCTCCTGACCCTCACGTTGTTCAAGGGCCAACTATATATTATAAATTCATAATGCACATTAGGCAGCAAAAAAAGTGTTTCTCTTTTTTTCATAACTTTTTAGCCTTTTTTTTTGTTTTTATTTTTTAAATTCCAATAATTTACATAGTGTTATATTAGTTTCAGGTGTACAATATACTGATTCAACCCTTCCATACGACACCTGGTTCTCATCATGGACAAGTGCATTCCTTAATCCCCATCACCTATTTCACCCACTCCCCCAGCCTGTACCCTCTGGTAACCATCAGATTGTCTTCCATAGTTGAGAGTCTGATTCTTGGTTTCTCTCTCTCTCGCTCTTTCCCCCTTTGTTCATTTGTTTTGTTTCTTAAATTCCACATATGAGCAAAATTGTATGGTATTTAACTTTCTCTGACTTATTTCTCTTAGGATAATACTCCCTAGTTCCATCCACATCTTTGCAAATAACAAGATTTCACTCTTTGTTATGGCTGAGTAAATGCCATTGTATATGTATATACCATATCTTTATCCATTTATCAGTCAATGGACACTTGGGCTCTTCCCAAATTTGGCTATTGTAGATAATTCTGCTATAAACATAAGGGTGTATGTATTCCTGTGAATTAGTATTTTTGTATCCTTTGGATTGATACCTAGTAGTGCAACTACTGCATCATAAGGTAGTACTATTTTTTAAAAGATATTTATTTATTTGACAGAGAGAGACACAGTGAAAGAGGGAACACAAGCAGGGGGAGTGGGAAAGGGAGAAGCAGTCTTCTCGCCCAGCAGAGAGCTGGATGCAGTGCTCCATCCCAGAACCCCTGGATCATGACCAGAACTTAAGGCAGATGCTTAACGACTGAGCCACCAAGGTGCTCCAAGGTAGTACTATTTTTAAATTTTGAGGAAACTCCATACTGTTTCCCTAAGTAGCTGTACCAGCTTGCAAAAAAGCTATTTCGTCTTTTTAACCAATATTTCTCAAACTCATTGAAGACCCAACAAGTTTTTTTTGTTAAATATATTATCCATTAACATCACATTGAGCTAGGAATTTTGAGAAAAGATTTCCTAAGTATATTAGGGAAAGGCCACAAAACAGATTAACTGGTATAATTATTCATTGAACAGATAAATGAATGAACCAATGATACTACATACTTGCCACTATCCATAGCTATGAACAAGATGGACAACACCCCTGTCATCAAAATCATTTCAGAGTAAATGTGTATATATGTATGTGTACATGTATATAACATACAATGTATATATTATATGCACGACCTTATTTTTTAAATGGAACAAGGGGAAATGAAGAAGCAGGATTTGAACATGGCTAATTCATTTACAAGTTAGAAGTTTCAATGTTTTACTTTTTCTATCAGTGCTCTTAAAACCCGTATCAGAATTTCAGATTTAATAACAATAGTCTCTTTATTATAATTGAAAAAAAAATAATTCTCGTGTACTGGCTTGCTATATACAAAATATAAAACAATAACGTAGTGGTCAAGAAGGAAATTTCTAGAGTCGCCAGTGTTTAAGATCTACCACCTAGTAGTAGTTGGAACTCAGACAACCACTCCATGCCTCAGTTTCCTCATGGACTATAATAAGTGAATGAAGACAGCGAAGAAAATAATGACCTGTCTCATGGGTTCTATGGAGATTAAATGGTATGACTGAAAACAACAAAAAAGTCTAGTAGATGCTCTTTTCATCATCATTTTCATTTTTATTACAATAACTAAGAATATATAAACTTGAATGTTAGAACAGGATGAACAAACTGCTGTGCTTGGTAGTAGGTTTACAAATGGTATTTTCTTTCTATTTTCCATAATGCCACAGTGTTTAATACGTTTTTTAAAAAGAACAATAAAAATGAAAACTTTACTAAATGTAGATGGGCTACTCTTAAAATGAAAAGAGCTCCATCTAGAATGGCTTTGTGCTCACTTTACAACCCTTTGATTTAAAATACCCGCACATCCCTGGAGAAACATTCAATTCTGAGAAATCACTTTCTGCTAGACACTGTGGCAGGGAGCCAGCCTCTTTACAATGTCAGGAAGTCAACGGAGTTGCCTGCTCTACTGGCCTGGACACTGTGACTTGTAGTTTCCTGTCAAGACCCTTGGGAATCACCAAGCTTCCCTGTGGAAAGAGAGGACTCTCGTCTGAAAAGATAATTTTCCAGAAAGAATACTCTCCTGACTCCTTGTCCCCTAATCCTTTCTCTTACCACCCCCCCACATCTCGGTCTGTGATTAGAGGGCCCTCATTATCCAAGTGATTAACATCTGAGTTCCTGAAGATTCAAAGATACCGGACAAAGCAAAGCCATGATAGCAAAAATACAAACTGATGGCCAACTGGTTGTGATGCTGTCTCCATTCAAATATCTCTCCCTAATTAATGTTCGCATATAGCGAGTCCACTGTTATCTAACAATCTTCTTCTGATTCATCTGACAATAGAACACAGACACAGGGGAAACTGATTCTAAGTGAAATTTCAGGATCTCAAGAAGTCCCTGGAAATGATGTCAGGGAATGGCTTGAATTGCAT